AAGTCTGAGGTTTAATATTGCATCAGGGTTAACACTCCGACGAAAGTGCGAATTTGCACGTATTGGGCCAGTGAGACCACTTTACATTTTGTATCGCCCAAGTCTCGCTCAATATTGGGCAAAATTATCCCTAAAGGCAGCTTTTCTATGCAAATTTTGACTTTAGCAATTTGTATAATATAACTGCAGATTCGAGCTTTCGTACTGTACATTGTTGAGAGCGAATTGAATGTTTTAAGCCCATAGGATTTCAAAGAGGGGGAGGGTCGCGTAAAAACGAAAAAGTCTATATGTACAATAGAATTTTCACTACAATTCAAGCCCCGTTGTAATTGAGACTATACAAAGATGGAGAAGTCCTGACCAGTGATTAATCTTTAGTCTAATAATTATGCAAAACCTAGTTAGTTATGTAGCAAGCAAAATGTTGCACACAGGAATTGCGTGTCAAGTAGCTCCTATCGAAAAGTTCTGTTAACCGTGCCTACATAAATATAATGAAGCCGCTAATAATTACTAGAATGTTAAACATATTCAGAATGCACAAAGACACCCCTTGGCTTGGCACAAAGACCCCCTTGCCCCCCTCCCTGGCGCACAGAGTGGCACCCAGCGCCACTGTCGCCAAAGGGTTAATCACTTTGCATCGGACTACCCTAGGAGGATAAATCGAGGAGCATCAGTTGATCTTCGGAACGTCATATTGGGATGGTAAAAAAGTCCTGAGCCGATTTTTTGAAAGCTCCAGAACTTTCGCTTATTGGTCGATACCTAGAATCTGCTACGTGATAGACTATCGCTGTCGATCATACTTCTCCGCAATAGGTATATATTGCCGGGTTGCCTTTCTTTAACTTTAATAATGATGGTGATTCCACAAGAACACTTTCGAGCGATCATCTTCAATGAATGGCGCTGCGGCACAGGAGCAGTGGGAACCGTCAACATTATCAGCATCGCATTGGGAAGGGACACCACTTCCATCATCAGTGCCAAGCTCTGGTTCGCAGGCTTCGAAGGAGGAGACACGGCTTTCAAAGAAAAGACAAGGTTGGGAAGCCCACAAAAGGTAGAAGACTCCACCGTTCTCGGCGCTGTCGAAGAGGATCCGGACGTTAGCACCCGCAGCCTTGTGATAAGACTCGGGTGCACCCATCCCACAGTCCTCGGTCCCCTTCACGACCTCGCCACAGGAAAGTGTGACTCAATGGATTCCTCATGTCTTGACCGATAGCACGCGGTTCAGGCGGGTACCCATTTGTCAGTTTCTCCTTCTTTGCCCGCACCGAAAGGAGTTTTTGGAAGGCGTGATTACGAGAGATGAGAGTGGGGTCCTCTACGATTCTAACAAGCACGGTGCCGTGTGGCTCCCTCGAAGAGAGGGCCTGCCGACACAAGCAAAATCGGACCTTCACCCCAAAAGCTGTCTCCTTTGCTACCTCTGGGATTCGTGAGGAATGCTGTACTATGATATGCTCCCGTAAAGACATACCGCTACCGGCAGCATTTACGCCAGTCTGCTCTAGAAACTAGCGGACGCTGTTCAAGAAAAACGACCGAGACGAACTTCTGTCCACCTACTCCACGATGACGCCAGGCCCCACAAAGTTAAAGAGACCCGTGCAGAATTGGAAGAGCTGATCTGGGACGCGGTTCCCCATCAACCCTATTCCCCTTACATTGCCCTCTCTGATTATCACTTACTCCATCCCCTTAAGGGATCCCTAGCGAAGAAAAAATTCACCAAAGTTAAAGAAGTTGGAAGAGCGGTCAGCGATTTCTTTGACTCTCAGTCTGCTCAGTTCTGGGAGAAAGGGTCGCTGACCTGCCCATTAGGTGGGACTCTGTAGTGAGTAACAATGGTGATTATATTGTTGAGTAGATTCCATTGTACGCGGAATAAAAAAGTAAAGCACAAAAAAGTGTCAAACGGCTCAGGACTTTCTTACCATCCTAATATATTTGGATAGGTGCTCATATATTATAGATCAAAATTGGGATGAGGTGATGTAGTGGCAAGTGGACCTATCACACACATCGTCGGGGGTCGAATCCTGGATCGCACGCCGTCTAGGCCAATCAAGCCTTATACCCTTGTGGGTGAACTAGTTGTTGGTAGGCTCGTCTGGGAGAAGAGAAACCCGGATTCGTGCGTCGGTTGGCTTCTGCTAGTAATTCTATGAGCCAAACTGCATTCAAATTGCCTTAATTTCGAATCGAACTGAGGCATATCTCAAATGGGGCTTAATCGGCGTCCAAAGCCTCCTTTTATCGCCCACATCGGGCGATTGTATGCTCATAAAAACGTCAGTTACTACAGTTGGAGCCGAATGCGTATGCATTTGCAAAGCCAATCAACTATTTTTGATCGACTCCAATCGAAAGATTTTTATCCTTGTATTTTCCATGTCGGTCTTCTTATTTAACAGAATAATTCTTTTTGAGTTTAGCCAGTCGTTCTTATATTGCCAGAAATAGCGATTTTTCAGCCTAATCGTTTAAGCTGCTTATTTTAAGGTGCTGGAGAATGTGGAAAGAGTACCGTTCTGAAGCAGATGAGGTAAGAGCGCTTAACAGACGTTTTCCTGGCTATTCAAATGTGAATAATGGTCAGACACCTGCTTGTTTCAATAGGCCTCATTAGTTGGGTATGTTCAGAATTCTTCACGACCATGGATTTTCTCCGGAAGAAGCCGTCCAGCAAAAAAGCGTTGTCTACAACAACACCGTACAAGCAATGGCAATGATTTTGAGGGCTATGAACAGCCTGAAGATCACTTTTGAAAACCCGGCAAGAGAGGTCAGGGCTTTACATAATTTGCATAGTTTTAGTTTGAAAAATAATTTCATTGACAAGATTTCTTCGCCTTATTGATTTTTTTTACATTTCTGGGGGGTTTAACACAGGCGCCTCCAAAAGCATCATATTCAGAACGATGCCCGTGTGGTCCTGGACACGATCAAAGCTGCCCAAGAATCAGAGCCGTTCACACAGGAGCTCACGCAAGCTCTGAAAAATCTGTGGGCAGACCCGGGAGTTACAGCAGCGGTCAACCGAGGAAATGAGTTCCAGCTCGTCGAAAGTGCTCCACAGTAAGTCAAAATCCCATGCCATCGTACCACCTATCTTGAGAAAATTGGCAGCAATGATTCGCTTTCAGCTTTCTCGGTTCTATCGACCGTATAGCAGCCAAAGACTATAAACCAACTGAGCAGGATATTCTGCTTTCACGGATAAAAACTACTGGTATTGTAGAAGTGAAATTTCAAATGAAGAATGTGGATTTCCGGTAAGTCAATCGTTCTTTTGAGGTTTCATGAATGAATGTTGAGTAGCGACTAGCAGTTATTCACTGTAGGCGAATAAGACCTGTCAAAGTAAATGAGATCATATCTGGTTCCTACGATGAGCCTGGGAAGCTGCGATCAGGCTGAGAATTGTGGAGGTTTTGGGAACAAGAAAGT